TATATTCTGACTGTTGGGTGACTTTTAAGAAGTAGAGTAAGCATCGCTGACATCCAATAAACAAATAATATGTTAAAAACACAAAGCTAAACTACTGGAGGGTGGCTCTTTATCATGTTCCCAGCAGTCCTATTCTCGGGGAGCAAATCAGTGGTTTCCACAGAGCAGGGAGCAAGTGAATACTAGTATCAATGAAAGCACCGAATTACTGTGATATACTGTAAGCCTATTCTACATGCATTGCATCCATGTCCCCAAAAGAATAAGATTGTGGCAAAATGGTGCAGTGTTGCTTTCTTTATTTTGAAAATAACAAGATCCTACTTCCATAAGTCCACTCCTCCCCCCCAATTATAAATCTTATAATGATGCTTCCATCATGTTCCAACAGATTTGTCCCTGCATGTGCCCTGCACTTGCTTCAGTCAGTATCCCTCACCTTTCACTGTTTGCAACGACTCTGTTATGGAGCATTGCAAGCACTGGATCAGAAAGGAGAACTTTGGAGCCGATATATGAACATCTGGGAAGTTTAGTGACGCATCAACTCCTTTTCCTTAAATGCTGTTAACTGATGACCTTAGAGACACACTTACTTTCTAACCAGTCATTTGGAATAGCCTCCAATCTGAAATTCAAGGAATCCTTTCAGCCTTCTGGAAGATTGTGAAGACCTAGCTCTTCCCGCAAGCGCTGGGCTAGGTTAAAATTGAGTCAGGAGATAGTTTGGTTGGTCTAGCACCTGGTGGGATGTGTTGTTCTAATTTGATTCCATTGTTTTTATTCGGCTGAGTTATCCCTTATTCCGCACTTATCCCTAACTAAAGATCTACATCACTCAGAAATAACTGACTGGCACCTGTGGCTCAAATTCTGATCCATCATATCCAGCCATCATTCACTATAGAATAGCACCTTGCTGTGCATGCATGCATGCATGCATGCATGTATGTGTGTGGTCAATTGGTTTTTGATTTTTTTTTTTAGCTCAGGCAGCAGTTATTTTGTGCTCAATCATGATTGTGAGTGCAGTATGAGAAGCATATAGGAAATATTTATGTATTTATTTTATCTATTTAAAAAATTTATTAGCCACCCATCTAACAACAAGGCAACTCTGAGTGTCTTAAAATAATAAAATATTTTATATATAAAATCTGGGAGCAGGAGGGGGAAAATCTGTTATTAATCAATCACCTCTACTGTGATGTTTCCCATGGGGCCCCAGGCTAACTGGCAGAGCCATGTCTTTAGGCCCTTAACAAAAGATCAGGAGGGTTGGAGCCAACCTAAAAAGGGGGGAGGGGGGAGATGTTCCAGAGGGCAGGTGCAATGCAGAGAAGGCCCTTCTCCAGAATAATCAGGCTGACGGGCCTTGCAGCATGCTCCTCTGCCAGCATAGGTGGGATGGGCCAATCCCAGGGAAATGAGACAGTCCCTCAAGTAGCCTGGACCCCTGCCATGAAGGGCTTTATGGAGGATTGCCAACATCTTGAATTTGTACCTGGAAGCAGGCTGGCAGCCAATGCAGCTCGCAGAGCAGTAATGTTACATTGGCCATTTTTCGGGCCCCATGAACTGCCTGCACCACCGCACTCTGCACCAGTTGTAGCTTCCGAATGCCTTTCAAGGGTAGCCCCAGGTAGAGTGCATTACAATATCATCACTTTTGTCTTGCCTGTGGTAATATAATTTGGAAAACTATTAAAATTTTGCTGCTGTGTGTAGGACAGCTTGCTTCCAGAGAATGTTTAGGAAAGAATGCTTCCAGAGAATCTTTATGAACACCGTCATTGTAGTGTAGTGGTGGGGTAGGGTATTTTTAGCTATTGTAATAAAAAGGCAACTTAAAATTGAGAACAAATGGAATGACTTGATATTTAGTTATGCTGCGTATACTGGTACAAAATTTGGCATTTCTATTTTGGAGGTATTACCTTACTGTGCCAGATTATTTCTTCCAAATTAAATGGCTAATAGTTAAAGCTTTTAAGGGACACATTCAGCAATTTTGTGTAGTGACACAAGCTTTAAAAATATCCTGCAGAATTTAACTACTGTTAAGGGTTTTTTTTATGAGATGTGAAGATGAAATGACATTGAGATGATGAATCTAATCAATCTAACTTGATCCCCCTTTTTGTATCAAAATTATTGATGATGGTGCAGTATTTCATAGATAGAGAAGCACCATACTGAAGTTTTTCTTTGGCTCTATTATCATCTAGAGTATTTGTAAAGAATTGCTCTGTGAGCATATCTGGGTCAGGTAGGTGTGTCACTTTATGTAATCTTTATATAATTAGCTCTTCGTTAGGTTTCTCTCCAGAGTAGGAGGAACCTAAAGCTACTGAGTTGGCTGGAGAAGTGAGACTATACTTTGATTAAACAGTCTTATAGAAGTGCAGAGGTTTTTTTTAAAGGCTTTGGCATTCTGACATTTGCCAGAAATGTCTTATTTGCCATCCTTGGTGGGAGATGAATTAATTTATTTTCACAGATAATAAAACAGCATTTGTTGTTTTCTTCACTTTTGTTCTACATAAATTGCTAATAGTTTTTTCCCCTTTATGTTGCACTTTATGAAGTAGGGATTGGACAAATTGTTGAATCATTTCTGGTCTTCTTTTCATATACAGTTTGGAACAAATTATAGACTTCTTTAATAAATGAAATTGAAGGATATACCATTCTTGCTCTCTCTTGGCTGATCTCAAAAAAAACCCCTAAACATGATAAGACTGTGTTAGTATTTGAATAAGACTAACCCCCAAATACCGGGAATTCAGAAAGCACCCAATTCAGAAAACAATGATAAATCACTTCCTTACAGTTACCAAGGAAACTATAAAGACCTGAAGTCTTTAGATGTCGAGCTCAACTTGAAATGTCATCTTTAATAATCCCTTTCAACTGATAATGTAGAGCATTTTTTTCTGTAACTAGGATAGATGCTTGTTTGAATCCAGAAACAAAAAGAAGCTGTTCTTATATATTATTTATATAGAGTGGTGATATTACCTGGATTCATGTTCTCATCAGACAGAAGTTGACATTTTTACTTTTGGTTTGCTTATATCATGTCATTATAATATAAAAAAGATTGTACCAGTTTTACTTATATTTGAAGTAACACCCTTTCCTCAAAGTAACACATTGATGACAAGAGTGTAATTCAGGATATTACTATACTAGTTGTTTAATGCTTGGAGTTTTTATGTTTGATTTTATTTCATTTTAATCACATTAATCTGTTTCATGAATCACAATATGTTGTTCAGAATTCATTACATCACAGATCTGGTTTTATTAGCAAATATGACATTCAAAATAATAATGCAACTGTTCCATTTTCTGTATATATCTGCTAACTAACTAAATTTTAGGATATATAGGTTTTTTTTAAAGGGATATTGAGAATTTGGGAGAGAAAAAAATAAACAGATTTGAGAGACCTCTGACTAGAAACAGGCTGGGGTATACTAATAATAAGAAGCTAATAAACTGGGAACACAGAAAATATTTGCTGTATCATCATATCATAGTCGAAGGGCACGACTACACTGGAGATATCTAATCTAATATTCTGCTAAATCTGTGCTTTTTTTTAATTTTGTTGAAAAGATGCGTACAAGCGGCACAAAGATTTTAGCAAATGTATGTGAGTTATAACTTTCTTTCTCTCCTCTCACTAATGCTTGATTTTTCAGCCTTTTGAATTCTGCATGAATTATGCCTTTGTTTTTAATTCTGGGGAAGTCATTGGTGTGATGACTCAGCCTGCAGAATGAAATCACATGGATTGCTATTACCACTTCCTATTGCCCTATTTTAGCACTCTTTTGATCCAGTTACATAATTGTGAATGAAGCAGAAAAGCCAATGGGGTAAAAATGCTGCATATCGTATTATGAAACCTTGGTTGATATGATATGCTGGAACAATGCTACTCAATATAAACATCTCTGAGAAAATTCAAGGAAACCAGAGTCTGTTCTCAGTACTAGGAATTCTCCAGTTAAATGAGTGTGAGCTCATTTGTTGTGACATTTTCACTCCGCATGAATCCTTAAAGTCCCTGTCTGTTCTAGAAAATGTATCAAGTTCACAATGTGACCTGACTTGTGCTTCCAGGAAAAAAACAGGAGGGGTCAGTTTTGGTTCAGTTACACCTCTTACTTAGGGGAATGTTAAATAGCAGCTATTTGCTTTCAATTCGTTTCTTTTAAAGGGCTTTGCCAGAATAGAGTGAGTTCTCTGAAAAAGCAGTGTGAAGTAATCACATTGCTTTTAAAAGGGTTTTGGTACACAGTGACTTTTGACAGATATAGATAAACTTGGTCTTCTACAGACATCTGGATTTGTACTTAACACATGGACTTTCAAACAATGTTTGTGGAACAGGAGTATCTTCCATGCAGTCTAATCTCATATTAAACTAGTCATAGTAGTTGGAAAAACAGGAGAAAAGGAAGTTGAGCTGCCACAACACCAGATCTAGGAAGCAGTAGCATTCCATCCATGTTGTTTATGTTTCACGGAGCTTCACTGAAACATTTCCCAAAAGCTGCTATTTGATTATGTGTTTAAAAAATAGCCTTTTTTGCTATATTAACTATCCAAGACATTTTGTCCAAACTGGCATTCCCTGTTTCTTTTCCTGTAAGAAATTCCTCTGTTACAGTTTGTTCACTTGGCAATACTTGATCAACACTGGAATTATTTGCTGCAGTCACATAGTATTTATTGTGTCAAGGAGCAGGTTGACATTTCCAGCTGTGGTTTGACATGATATCAGAACTTTTGTGGTTGTGTATGAGAGGTTCACAAAAGAATTTGGAGAGTTTTGATTCCTCAGCATTTCCAATAGATGGAAGTAAACGTGAAGTACATGGTCAAATGATTGAGAAATCATTTGTTCTTTCAGTAAGATCCATGTTTGTTACAAGTGTGAAAAGAAAGGAAATTACTCACAATTTATTCTAACATTGTCTTTACAGATCAATCCCGTGAAGCAGTTTTTGAAAGTGATCTTGTTCAACATGGGGAAGATGGAGAATGGCAGCACTCTACTTCAACTACCTCATCTCAGAGTGAACAGGCAGAGAAACTGTTGCAGAACCAGCACCAGAGCCTGGCCTCTGAGGACACCAAAAAGAAGAGGGCTCAGAAACCTTCTCACATGAGGAGGAACATAAGGTAAAGATGCTTTTAAAAAACATTTGAGAGTTTTAATATTTTCACTGACACAATATTCAGGCATAATTTCCTGAATCCAGGTTTACGATGGTCTGTGTTCAAGAGCACTAGACAAAGTGGAACTAAAATCCAGTTGGAGAGGAAACATTGCAGGCATCTTGGATAATTTTTCTAAGAAACAGCTTTCATGGCTCCAGGGAAGAAAATTGATCATAACTGTACTGAGATTTCAGTTTCTGTAATACCCTGTGAAAGAGTTGATCTCTTTCCCTTTATACTGGTGATACTGAAGTTTCTGACCTATGTGCTTGATCTGATCCAGTTGGACCAAGCCTATTTGACTTTTGAACATGTCTCTACTTTGTTTTCTCCTAAACTCAATCCTTTCCCCAACAGTGTAAGCTGCTTTGGCTATCCTACTCTTGCCTGGATAGAGAAATGTCTCAAATGACAAAATGCTGCAAAATTAGTTCCTGCAAGCATTCTACTCTGTTTGCCTTCCATATGTTCCCATAATAAGTAAATACGTTGGGTGGCAGAACTAATGAAATCAGATGGTCATCATGGAGCATCTGCACATAGAACTGTATTTCCACTGTTTCCACTCCAGTGATACAATGGATAATATAGGTTCACAACTTACAACTGGTAAATAAAAAGAGATTGAAGCGGTTTAACATCAAATTTGGAATTCACAAACTCTACTTTGCACCACCAACAATGGAATGTTCTCTAATACGCTAGGCCAGTGATGGCAAACCTTTTTGCCGTTGTGTGCCATAAGCGGGGGGAGTGTGGGGGGAGTCACGTGCGCGTGTGCCCATACCCATAATGCAATGCCCCCGTGCACCCTGCCCACCCATGCATGCGCGCATGACCCTGCGCTGCCCTTCCCATGGCGCATATGCCTGCACCCCCTGCGCATGCACGCATGACCCCGTGTGCCCCATTTTGGCCTAGCAGGCCTCCCTAAAGCCTCCGTAGGCCAAAAATGGCACATTTCCGGACTTCTGTTAGGCCCATTAGGCCTGGTTTTCGCCCTCCCCAGGCTTCGGAAGCTTTCCTGGAGCCTGGGGAGGGCGAAAACAGCCTCCTTTGGCCATCTGGAGGCCCTCCGGAGCCTAGAAACGGCCCATTTCTGGACTTCCGGTAGGCCAGTTTTTCGCCCTCCAGACGGCCTGGAGGCTTTCCTGGAGCCTCCAGGAGGGTGAAAACGGCCTACCCCAGCCATCCGAAGGGCCTCAACAGCCCGTTTCCGGACTTCCGGTAGGCACGTTTTTCGCCCTTCCAGAGTCTTTACACGAGCCCTATACTTACCTGGCATCCAAAAGGGCTGTATGAAGACTCCTGGGAGGGGAGGGGCAGCATGGGCATGCATGTGCATCTCCCACATGTGTGGCAGAGACCTGAAAATCAGCTGGCCGGTGGGAACACCGCATAGCTGATCTAGGGTGATGGCTCGTGTGCCGGCAGAAATGGCTCCACATGCCACCTGTGGCAGTGTGCCATAGGTTTGCCATCACGGTGCTAGGTCTAAGGGCAATATCTGACGCATTAGAGTTTTCTCTATGACTTATTTCTGGAATAGTTGAGTTGCCAACCAGTGGAGGTATGAAACTATGAGAGCCAATTGTACTTGAATCTTATGCTGACTATTCTCTTTCTTGAAGCTTTGAATTCTGCATTCTCTCTTTCTCTCTCTCCCTCTCCCCCCTCTTTATCTATCTATCTATCTATCTATCTATCTATCTATCTATCTATCTATCTATCTATCTATCTCTTGTGGCCTACCAGCAGAGCTGGTGGCAGATTCAGACAATGAGGAGGTTGGGGAGGAACTTGGGCCAGTTCTGGAGTCTGGGGAAGGCTCTAATGAATGCTCTGCATCAGACAAAGAGGTAGAGCCAGGGCTATCCAACATTTCCCAGCCAACGGAGAGGCAGCTGGCTTTGGGGGCTGAGATAATTGAGGAGAAAGAACAGCTGGAGCCTGTTCCAGATGCACGTATACATAGAGCAGTTAGGAGAGGTGAACAACGGAGGACAAGGAGTTGACTCGGGAAGCAAAGCACACATAGATTCTGAATGGATTCTCCCTGGCTGGGGAATAAATAGAAGGAAAGGGCAGTGGTTGTCATAGGAGACAACAGTTCGTATTTCTGAAGATTTTGCTCATTGTGTTTTGTGAATCAAAAACTGCTTGCCAGAACTAAATTTGCAGCTTTTCGGCTGGGAGCTCACGACCTTGCAGTTATCGCAAGGAACTGATAACGTCTGTTGCTGCATTTAACTCATTGCAAGACTCTTGCTTGGACTTTTCAGTGGGTGAATGCCATTAATTCACAAGGTAAATAAAGAGGGCTTTTTCGTGATAAGAAGTCTGTTTCTTGCTTCTGCTAAGGCTGGGTCAGAACACTATCTATATATCATATCTCTCTCTCTCTCTCTCTCTCTCTCTCTCTCTCTCTCTCTCTCTCTTGAATATATGTGCTGGCCATCTCATAGCAAATAACTCTGGGCAGCTGTCAGCATTAAAACATTAAAAACCCAACAAATAAATATTCTTAAAAGGACAAAAAATAAAAATCCCAATAAAAAAATAGCTAAAAGATGGGGAAGGAGGGAATAGGATGCGCAGGGGGGAGAGGTGGGATTATCTCTTAATTCAATAATCACCTCCAATGTGGTGTTCCCTCATTAGGGTCCCAGGCCATCTGGCAGAATCAGATTTGCAGATTCAGATTTTCAGGCTTCTGTGGAAGGACAGAAGGGTGGGTGCTTATCACTTCAGGGATAAGATATTCCATAGGGCAGGAACCACAACAGAGAAGGTCCTTCTCCTGGACCCTGCCAGCCAGAATTCCTTGCCCGACAGGACCCACAGCATGCCTCCTCTGCCAGCGCAGGTGGGGTGCTCCAGTCCCAGTAGGGTAAGAGAGTTCCTCATATAACCTGTACCCTTGCCATGCAAGGCTTTAAAGGTAATAAACAACACCTTGAATTGTACCCAGAAGCAGTCAGTCAATCAGTGGGCCTTGCGGAGCAGTGGGTTATCCTAGGAGCTTCAAGATCCAAGAAATGCAGAGTGCATAGCACACTCTGTACTAATTGAATCTTTTGAATGCTCTAAAACAGTGGCCCTCAACTTTTAGGCACAAGGGGCCGGTTCTATGGAGAGAGGTTTTTCCACAGAGTGGAGGGGGTGTGGTATCACATGCTGCCTGTATCCCACAGGTGGGGCTTCACTTGTTTGCGCAGACTGGTTTCTGGCATGCCATGGACCGGTGCTGGTCCAAAGACTGGGGTTAGGGACCTTGCTCTAAAAGGGTAGCCCCATGTAGAGCATACTTTAAACATGAAGTGACCTCTGATCCAGGAAAGGCCGCACCTGGTGCACCAATCAAAGTTGTGCAAAGACTCTCCTAGCCATGACTGCCACCTGCTCTTCAAGCAGAAGTCACAAGTCAAGGAGAATTCCCAAGTTGTATACTGGATCTGTTTGGGTAGTGTAACCCCATCCAGAACTAAGTTGGGTAAAGTCTTGGATCTTGAAGGTCCATACACCCAAAGCCATTCAGTTTTGCCAGGGTTCAGCCATAGCCTGTTGTCCCCCATCCAGGCCCCCACAACCTGCAGGCACTGTGAGAGGGCGGCAAAGGCATCACTTGGATCACTAGGGGTGGAGATAACATACTGATTACTGTATTTTTCGCATTATAAGATGCACTTCCTCCCCCCCAAAAAAGTGGGTGGAAATGTCTGTGCATCTTATAGAGCAAATATTGCGGCGGGAGGAAAGGGTTGGTGCAGCACCACTGCCGCTGTTCATCACCACCGGTGTACGCTGGAGCCTATGCTGCTGAGTAGCTGATTGGCAGTTGGATCAGCCTCCCGGAATACCACCAGTCAGCTGTTCTAGGTGGCGGGGATTTTCACTCCCGCCAATTGCCATTGATTGCTGCTGTTGAATGGTGGTGATTGGCGGCGATCCCCACTGCCTAGAACAGCTGACCAGCAGTATTCCAGGAGGCCGATCCAACCACCAATTAGCTGCTCGGCAGCGAAGGTTCCAATGTTCCCCAGCAGCGGCATCAGCTCAGTTGACCCGTGGTGGGTGCAATTGAGTGGAGCTCTGACGAGCCATATGCTTGGGCTGCGATAACGTGCTGAAGCTGACCAGGTTGTTTGCTGCAAGGACACTAGCCAGATGAATACCCGATGGATGCTGGGAGGCAGAGGCAGATTTTTTTCTTTTTTCTTTTTTTTTTATTTTATTTTTTTATTTTTTAATCTAATACACACCGTACATATTTTGTGGACAGTGTATTGACTGGGTCAAATCTGTTTTAAACAATGCTAACAGTAATAATACAAATAAGTGTACATAATCCTAATCTTCCAACTTCAACAGTACCATTCTCACTTTATAATTCTTTATGATTTTTTCCATTAATTCATTTAAACATAAATTACATTTATTTGTGCCATGTATTTGTTATCCCCTACTAAGTTACTAATATTTAATATTTTGAGAATTATTCATTTCACCATAATTTCAATATCCCAAATGTCTAGGACTACTAATGCCAAATATTAACAAAATTTAATCAATCCCGGGAATATATCTCAAAATCCCCACAATTTCTAATCCTTAAAAGTTCAAATTCACAATATATTTTAACACACTACCCTGTTTCCCCCAAAATAAAACATCCCCTGATAATAAGTCCAATCGGGCTTTTTAACGCATGGCAATAAGGCCAAGCGCTTATTTCAGGGTTCAAAAAAATACAAGACAGGGTCTTATTTTCGGGAAAATATGGTATTAATATTAATAATACAATTAGATTACCTAATCCTAAACTTCCACCTACTAAACTTAATTTATTTTTAATTATTATAGATTCTATTATCTGTTAACATGTATGCTACTATTTTCCTTGTTTGTATTATTTATTTTTTCATTGTATTAATATATTTTATCATTATCCATCATCTCTTAGCCTTTTTGGAGTTCCATCATTTATTGACTTTTTAATCACCCTTTTATTTCTCTCTCTTGGAGTCTTATAACTCTTTTTAATATTTTTGGACCTACTGAACATTCCCTTTGGGTTGCCCTTTGTCTCTTTCTGCTGTATTATTTAAACACCCATCAATAAGATGTTCTTTTTTTTAAAGAGGTTTTTCTTTTTTTCCTCTAAATCTTTCTTTCTTTTTTTTTTGAAGATTTTTTTTCCTGTGTTCTATTATAAGCTTTTAAGAAATTATCTAATTGATTCCTACTTATTAATCCTTTTACTTCATTACCTTTATCTTCTTGCATCTCATTTTGATTTTTTCCTTCTACTGCTTCTTCTAATTTCTCATCTATTTCCTGAATATCATGTTCATCTTTTTCCCCCAATTGTTGAGTGGCTTCTACATTCATTTCTTTATCTTTAGACAATCCCCTTGTCTCCTTATTGTTCTTTATAGTTTCATGCATGTTTTTAAGCATCAAAATTATTTCTTTATTTGCCTCTATTATCCCTTGTAGATCCATTTTGTGACAATTTAATAAAGATTACTCACTATACCTCTTTGGTTCCAACATCTCAATATTTGAAAACTCCAACTTAATAAAATTCAGTCAGTCCCATAGTTATACCTCCAAATCCCCTAAATTGATAATCTTAAAATTCTATAGTAAATTACAGCCTTGTGATTTTCCAATTACATATCTTCCCAATTGTCCAAATTTTAAAGTCTTATTTAACGTTAAAATTTGGACAATTGGGAAGATATGTAAAGTTAAAGACATTTAACTTTTCTTCTTTTCTCCTTTCATCTTTCTTCTTTTGCCTTGTAGGATGTTCTGTCAAATAGCATTAATAATCCAAATCCAAATTAATCCACTAGGTTCCTCCAATCTTTCAAATCCATAATCCAATAGCCAGTTTCAATAAAGTTTAGTTATTTGCAATTTATTTCATCTTAGAAATCTTCAAGAGGGAAAAGAAATTCATTAGGTATTATCAAAATATCCAAATCGTCTTCTAGAACAGGGATCACCAATCTTTCGGACCTCAGGGACCACTAAATTCATAATTTTAAATCCCGCGAACCAATAATATGATCTGCCTAATGACCAGCTGGTTGGGCGTGGCTAGGTGGTCATGTGACTGGGTGGGCGTGGCCAACTCCTCACCTTCCTGCCTGGGCTCCTTAGGGCCCCAACAGGAAGCAGTTGTTGGAGCTAAGCAGCCCCTACGAGAAAGAGTTGGCAGAACAGCTCAGTTCAAATTGGATCTGACCGAAAAGGAGGCTTAGCAGAAGCACCTCACTGAGGACTATGAGCATAGGTTTTTCAAGTAGAGGAAAGACCTGTGGGAGTGCAAGGCCAGGTACCAGCGCCTGCAAGGTCAGCGGGCTAAGATGGTCAGCCAGTGCCAGGACATGATGCAGTCCCACTGGAACAAGGTCCTCTGTCTCTTCTCCACCAGCGGCACTTCCCTCCAGCCTTCACCCAGAGCCCCGCACCAGGAGGCCAAAGCAGACTCCAAGTCAGAATTTCTCCCCCCTCTGACCCACACAAAAAGACCCCAAAGGGGGAGACTCTGCAGCAACCCAAATGTTCATTGCACGTATCTGTATATATATATATATAAATACAAATAAGCAGGACAGTTTCTCCCAAAAATCACCTTTCAAATTGTTTAAGCTTTTTTCCAGACTTTCTGTATTTTAAAGCTTCCCTTGGGCATTTCTTTCGCCTCTTAATTTTCAGTATTTAATCTTCGTGTGTCTTATCGCGGCTTCCTTAATGCTTGGAGATTATCTTTTAAAATTCTTGTACTTAAATTAAATCTTTAGAGTAAGAGTTGGAAGTTATCTCACCCAGTTTCAATGCTCTCTCCACGGACCGCTTCAGCACAAATCTTATGGTCTCGGTTGTCCCAGCTTGTGACTGGCAAAAATGGCTGTTGTCCCTGCTGCCATTCGGGAGAGCTTGCTTCGGACTTAATGAGGAAATTGTGAGTTCCTCGTGATCCACGAATGCTTCTCCTTTCTTTGCCGCTTCTACAAGGCGGCTTTGACCCCATAACAGCGGTTGCCAGCTGGATTTCGCAGGGCTTGGTGGAGCCCACTATTTTCCAAGCCGTTCTCACCATGACGTCAACCAGAAGTCCTCAGATTCCCCCCCTCTTGTTTTTCTCCTCTAAAGCTAATGTGCGTCTTATGGTCTGGTGCATCTCATAGTGCGAAAAATACGGTATATCTCAACCCCTGGTGGTGAATGATCTCACTAGCAGCTTCATGTAGATGTTAAAAAAGAATAGAGAGGGTACCGAGCCCTGTGACACACTACAAAAGAGTGGCCATGGGCTGAACCTCTCCTTATTAACACCAGTTGGGACCAGTCTTGGAGAAAGGAGGCAAACCAATGCAAAACAGCACTATCCAACCCTAACCCCACAGCCAGCCCAAAAAGATACCATGGCCGATGGTATCAAAGACTGCTCAAGGAGAGTAAGAATGGTTGTATTATCCCCCTCCTGCTCTCATCATCAACAAATGTTACCAATGCCATTTCCATCCCATAACTGGGCCTGAATCCTGACTGAAAGGGGTCCAGATAATCCGTGTCATCCAGGACCCTCTGAAGCTGCCAAACAACCATGTTTTCTATCATCTTCCTAAGAAGGAAAGATGGGAAACTGGACGGAAGTTGCCCTAGCAGGTGGGATCAAGTAATAATTAACATCCCTCTTAACATAGTGCATCTGCCCTTAAACAGCAGCATCAAGGGTCTTCTTGCTCAATTCCATGCTGTATATGTATATGTTTTACCTACAAGTGAAAAATAGCTACCGCATTTTTCGGAGTATAAGATGCACCGGAGTATAAGATGCACCTACCTTTTTGGGTTTTTTTTTTTTAAAAAAAGGTTTTTTTTATTTTTTAGACAAACACACATACAAACATACAATGTATTTTCTTTGAACAGTATTTGGCTGGTTCACAAATTTAAACAGTGTTTAGTCATTTCAATTAAATTTACTATTTCTATATTTCCTTTTTGCCATATTTATTCCTCATCTATTTTTTTAAAAAACCAATATTACCATTCATCCTCATCTCTAATCTTAATCAAATTCAATTTTTCCCTTCTATTCTATATTATACCCCTTCCCATTGTCTTCTATTTTTATATCCTTCCTCACATTGGTTAATTACGTAATATTACAATTGTTTAATACAAATTCAACATTTTAATATAAATCAATTAGTTATATAACTATATTTTTTGCATATTAATCAATATGAACATGAATATTCCAATTATTTCCATGCAATCCAATTTCTTACAAATCAATTAATTATATTTACCAATAATAATAAACCAAATGATTTCCCCTCTGATGTTACTCATTTTCACATGTTAAACTCACCCAATAACCGACATAGTTTTGCCCATATAATCCTCCAAATCACAACTTAATCATTTCTACTTTCATCACAATATATAATTAAAAATATTTCAATCATTACAATTTTCCTAATTAAATATAAAAATGTTCTAGCTCTTACCCAAGCTACAATTTAATCCTTTTTTACTTTCACTACCATATACCATTAAAGGTATTTCAATTATTACAGTTTATACTTCTAAAAAAAATAAAAAAATAAAAACTTATCATTGTCTAGATTTCAAAAATACAAAGACAAATATTCCAATTATTATTCATTTCATTTTTACAATCATGATTTCCCATTTATTTCTTATTACTATTCATATTTCAATTCTAAATATGTATAACATTTTTCTCTTTCATTTCTTTTTTTTTTCTCCCTTCCCATTTTTATTTTTGCCTTTTTCGTTCTCCTTTTTTTCTTTTGTGTTTAAAATCTTGAACTCTCCTCTTTTGCCCTAAATTTCCCATTGTTTGTACCTACTTTTTTTGGTGAGGAAAAAGATGAAAAAGAAATCTCCCTCTGTCTCTGCCTAATTTTGCCTCGCTACAGCAAACAGCCTGCTTTACTTTCAGTTTCAGTTTCAACGTAGCTTGATTAGCACAAGGAAAAAAAATCTGCTCCAGAAATTCAGCTCTTTGCAGCAAGCAGCAGAGCCCTGCACAAAACAGCTGAGAGCAAATCAGTGGAGAGTCGGGAGGTGGATCTAATCAACTTGTGCTAATTAGTCTATGCTGACGCTGAAAGGAGCTTTTTTTTCTTGCTGTTTGCTTACAAGGAGGTAACTGCTGTGAGGCACAGACCAAAGGGTGGGGGCCAGTGGGTGGGCAGGGCTACATAAGGTATATAAGACGCACCTAAATTTTCACCCCCTTTTGGGGGGTAAAAAGTGCGTCTTATACTCCGAAAAATACGGTAGTTTTTCTGATTTGTCATTTTCTTTGCTCGAAGAAGAACAAGTCAGTTTTTATTTGCCAAATTGAAACTGCATTGATATATTCCTTGGAAATAATGTATTTTTTCTGAATTTGTGCATTCAGAAAGCTGCTGCGGGAAGACCAGTTGGAGGCTGTGACAAAAGCAGCACAGCAGGAAGAACTGGAAAGAAGAAAACGGCTGGAGCAGCAAAGGAAGGACTACCAAGCCAGCATCCCCACTGTACCTTTAGAGTTTCTCCCAGGTAAACTTTACACAAAGTATTGAACCAAAAGCTGAATTGAAGCCAGATGTAACAAATAATAATGGTTAATCCTGTCAGCATACTAATTTTGTTCCATAGTGTTTATTTTATTCTTACATTCATGCCCTGCCTGATCCCCCCCCAGAGGAAAAAAAAAGGACAGTATAAGTGTAACTCATAAATACCTTTGTGAATCACTGTGTGTCTGTTTTTCTCTAATATATTTTTCCTTTTGATATCTGAATTATGTATCATATTAATAATAATTGATTTCTATGTTAATATGCCATTCAGGGAAGTGATAAAGATAATACTTGCTTTAAAAGAATTAATGAAAATATTGTAAAAATTAGTCATTTTTAATAGAGCAGGCCTAACAACAGCATTTGTAGTTAGTTATAACAAATTGATTCTAATTACTAGTTGCTGCATTTGCTTAATTCCTGTGAAATAAATGGTGCTTCTCATAAACAGTTTTGTTCTATTGTTTCCATTATTTTAGCTCTCTGAGAAACCATGCTTTCTACCACACAAATAAGCCAAACTGAGTTATTTTCTCTGCATGTTTATCAGTTCCCCCTCTTTCTGAATATCAGTCATGAAAACTCCATACTTCTATAATGTTTTCCTTGTCCTTCTCAATCACAATGTCACAACTAATCCATTAAGAATAGGTTTTTTAACCTCTGATATTCCTCAGGATCAAGCCATATAACTACTATGTTGAAAAATAATATTTCTAAAACATATAAATATAACTATATGACTATAACATAGAAATATAATCAATGAATTCATAACTTAAAAGATTTTTCTTGTATTTATTTGTTGTCTGAGCTGCATTTTGATCAGAGTTGTTGCTTATATTTATAGAAAATGTACAGTATCTTAAAACCCATTAGTAATTGTTCCAAGTTTCATGAATTCAAAAGTGTCCCATTCTTTTTTATCCTTTACTGAGGAGAATGGGGAGGAATGAAGACCTGATGTCTTCTCTATATTAAGTGAGCTATTCTTTTATTAATTCCTCTTAAATACTGTACTCCAACATTTTAAAATCACTGTAAACTTTGTGAAGAGGCTAAAAATATACAGGTAGTTCTTGCTTAATGATCACAATTGGGACTGGAAACTCTGTCACTAAGCAGTGTGGTCCTTAAATGAATCACCCATGGCGGTTAAGCAAGACATCACATGATCATGATTTGCAATTTTACTGCCAGCTTCTACACTGAATATGCTTGTCAGAAGCCAGTAGTAAAATGTGCATCTGGCAATCACATGTTCGTGGGATGCTGCAATGGTCATAAGTGCAAAAATCAGTCATAAAGTTACTTTTTTTCAGCGCCATCATAACTTCAAACAGTCCCTAAACAGGGCAGCCATTAAGCAAGAATTATCTGTATGTCAACCCAGTGAAATAGCATTACCTATAATAGATTTGGACCACATTAAAATAGAGCCATATATGCAGATGCTTGTAGTAAAGCATTGGATGTTTTCCATAATTTATCCATAATTTCAAAGTGGCCTTAGGAGGCAGTACATTGTGTCTGATGTGGCCTGTCTATCCATCCTCTGACTCCTTTCCGTGGTACCTGTAGATTATAGTATGAACAGTTTTCTGTTCAGCTTCCTTATCCTCTTTCAAATTTGGAGCAAGGAAGTAAGTGAATGGGTGGTCTTCTCAATGCTGGGCTATTCAGCAATGCAGCAGGACTAATGAGCAAGCAGATTTTGTTTGCATCTATTCTGTGTAATCTGGATGACATCCAAAACGCTCCATGGAAAGAGTGTACTTTTTATGCTAGCAAATGAAGAAAGAGATTCTGCAATTTGGAAAAAAAAATTAGCCAAACTTGCTGCTCATCTGCAAACTGCAAAAGTCCTGACAACAAATCTCACAAATTTGGTTTCATTTATTCAGATTTTGTTTAGAAACGCTGCAGCATAGAACAAGTTCAGGGCATGTTAATTAATATAATAGTCAAATTGCGGTCATTTGTACTAATAATTATTGAAGACGAACCTGAAAGAAAGTTGTTTGCTATGTTTAGATCACTGTGCTATGTTTGGAGTGGAGGAAGGGCATATATCCACAATTCTATCATGTTTTAAATGTTGAATATAAATGGAAATATGCATGTTTAATTCAGTTTCAGTTTCATGTTATTGATTCCAGATATAATGACATTTTTCAAACTGATTTTAAGTGTTCTGATAATAGTTTGAACAATGCGTTCTTCTAACATTGGAGTCTGAAATAGAGGCTCATGAGTCTACCCCAAAAAATTAGAATGCAGTAAGAGAAGTACTGGTTAACTTCAGGCAAAACATTACTTGAAGCATATTAGAGTAGCTTCTTATATAATCAGTGGTATCAAATTTGGTACAACTAAGATACTTCAGTGAGGTCACACATTGATGAGTGAAGTGAAGTGAGGGCAATTTTTAGTCTGATTTTCTCTCCATCCATGATGTACTGAATTTATTACTTTGTTTTTAGAGGAAATTGCTTTACGAACTGCAGAAGTTGCTCAGCTTCCCCCTCAAGTGCTAAATGAAGAGGTCATCTGCTTAGACAGCACCAGCAGTGGTAGTGAGGATGACTCCAAAGTAAGACTCCACAGCATTAAAGATGGTAAGAACAGATGGAAAATTTATTCCTGCATTATGGTTTCCAACATCTTTATGTCTTGCAGTCAGTAGGATTTTTTTTTTTAAAAAAAAATACAAGTAAATGTTATTTCTAAAGAATTCTAATAATCAGTAACTTCCTCTAACATTCCCAATTTGAAAAATATTTTTACAAACTTATAAAATTTTAAGAAATCGACTCAGCATAATTATGCTATATCAAATAATTATAAAGTAACAGATAAATATTCAGTAACTCAGTACTAATCAGAATCAGCCAGTATGATTACTTTTGTATTTTCATACTTTGTTTTTATTTTATTTCTTTTACTTAACTTTTCCCAGTTTTTACTAGAGTATAAAAGATGAAGACAGAGGGACATAAGTCACCTTACATTTAGCTATAAAATATAATGGATGTGCTAATCCTCTACATCTGGTTGTGTTGCAGAAGTGATAGAATTAAGTTCAGGAGACGATGAAGCCCTCCACATTGTAGACAGCAGTGATTCTGGCAACGAAGGGGATGATGATACTGAAGAGAGCAGTGGTGCCCACGTGAATGATGCTCTAAATCAGTTAGATGCTTCAGGGCAAGTAATTATTAACATCAACCATCCACCAAATGAGGAAGATCTATATCTGGCTCCTCAACTTGCACGAGCAGTAAAGCCTCACCAGGTATTGAAATTTCTGCTGCAGAAATGTACATAATTGTCACCAAATTGTCTTCTAGACATTTTACTATGACATGTCATTTGTTCGTGTAAACTTCGGCTGGTTTTTTTTTGCCTGCGTATGTGTATATGCATTTACAGATTAGATGCTTAACCACTAATCTGATAGTAACCATCCATAATCTCTTTTACACCATTTGTTACTCTTTCTAGATTGGTGGTATTCGTTTCCTGTATGATAATTTGGTGGAATCCCTGGATAGATTTAAAACCAGCAGTGGGTTTGGCTGCATCTTAGCTCATAGCATGGGGCTGGGCAAGACTCTGCAAGTCATCTCCTTTTTGGAAGTACTTTTCCGTCATATTGAAGCAAAGACCGTCCTGGCAATTGTACCTGTAAGTAGGCTGTACAAAAATGTTTACTTAAGTCTGTTTAAAGGTCCTTTCAAACACTTAGCAAGTTTTGATCTGAATACAGATCAACTTCTGTATTTGCCTCTTTAAATTTTGAAATATCCATGAAATATTCGTATATTTTTTTCAGTGTTTAAGATATTGGTAGAATGAAATATATAATTAATGTATCCCTTTCTTATCATTTTTCTTACAGGTAAATACTCTTCAGAACTGGTTAGCAGAGTTCAACATGTGGCTTCCAGCACCAGAAGCTCTTCCTGCTGACTATGACCCAAAAGAGATTCAGCCTCGCACTTTTAAAGTCCACATTTTGAATGATGAACACAAGTAAGGGAAATGAATTCTATTTCGGAGATGTTATTTATAATTGCTGCTGTTGGAGCATTTGTGCCCTGTTTATGGATCTTGGAAAGTTCTCTTGCCAATTTGTACAGATCGTTTTATGACAACATCTGATTAATTTCAGTGTTACAATAAGTATCACTGCCAAAATAAGTAGGATACCATCCATTAAATTGCCATCTCAGCTTGCTCGCATTCTGAATCTTACAATACTGTCCTCTTTTATTTTCTTACAAAATATAAAAAAAGAAAAGTTTCCCAGACGAATTAACCATATAGGAAGAATATTATGCTCACAGATGGGGGGGAGGGAGGAGGAAAGAGCACCATATTGCATTTAAAATGTGAGCGAAACCAGGGACATTGTTTGAATGCAAATACTTTAGGCTCACTGAGGGTCTAAGATTAGTGACAGCCATGGTTAATAGCAGCATTTGTCCTATCCATTGTATTTTGAACCAGCTTGACTTTTCAAATAGACTCTGAATATACATAACATGCATATAGAGTTGCATTCTCCTTTTTCACAAAGACTGTCCCATTTGTATTTTGTCTACCTGTTGTTGTTTTTTCTAGGACCACTGCAGCACGTGCCAAAGTGGTAACTGAGTGGGTAACAGATGGTGGTGTACTGTTGATGGGTTATGAGATGTACCGCTTGCTTTCATTGAAGAAATCCTTTGCTACGGGCAGAAAGAAGAAAAGCAAAAAGCAAACTGGCCCTGTCATTATTGATGTGGATGAAGAAGATCGTCAGCAGGAGCTCTTAAAAGGTGAGAACCCACAAACCTCCTTTTACGTATATCTTTCTTTCTTTTTTTTAAATTTGTAATTTTATGTAGTATATATTTAGTATATATATATTTAGTATATCTTTCATTTCCATTTAAATGATACAATCCTTAGACCACTATTTTTACTAGAATTTGCACATGAACAGACAGATAATCTGAAATTAGGAATCCACTAAGGCATGGGTTTCCAAACTTGGCAACTTTAAGACTTGTGGACTTCAACTCCCAGAATTTCCCCACCAGCATGGCTGACTAGGAAATTCTGAGAGTTGAAATCCACAAATCTTAAAGTTGCCAAGTTTGGAAACCCATGCGCTACGGAATATATTTCCAGTTTCATCAGAAAAATGATTTTCTAGTTTGTATGAATTCTTCAATTAATTTATAATTCCTTTATTAACATAACATATTTGGAGGCAGAGTTTCTCTATATGTATATAATTGTTTTGCTGCATGTTTCATTACTGTAATGGAACTTTTTGTGGAAAGATTTTGTGTTAACATTGTCCCAGTTTTCACTGGTTCGCTGCTTTTTTTAAAAAAAAAAAAACTTCCATTACGGACACATATTCTAGTTTCACTTGCCACTGCATTCAGTGAAGGATGTCATTGAGAATTGTAAATGATACTTACCTAGCCTAAGACAGGGAAGTGATCAGTGTCTTTCTCTTATCAGTGTTGTCTTGAAAACTGAAGCAGAGATTTCTGCTATCCAGTAATAATTTCTGAGCAGCTCATTTTCCTTTCTCCAAACTCCCTACTGGATTTAGCACAACTCTTAATAATTATGCAACTTCAATTAAGGCTAGAGCAAAACAAATTCATTTGGAGACATTTTCTTTTCCTTTCAGGAATTGAGAAAGCTTTATCCCGGCCTGGACCAGATGTGGTCATTTGTGATGAGGGACACCGGATAAAGAATTGTCATGCAAGCACCTCTCAGGCTTTGAAAAACATCAGATCTCGGCGAAGGGTAGTTCTGACTGGCTATCCTCTGCAGAACAATCTAATTGAATATTGGTGTATGGTAGACTTTGTACGCCCCGACTTTCTTGGTACCCGGCAGGAATTCAGTAATATGTTTGAGCGCCCTATCCTGAATGGACAGTGTATTGACAGCACCCCCCAAGATGTTCGTCTAATGAGGTATCGCAGTCATGTCCTGCACAGCCTGTTGGAAGGCTTTGTACAAAGGTGAGGCCATTTGCCACATTCTCAGTCCTTCAGTCTTTGGAAGAAGTATTTAAATAATGAGAGGGTGGGAAGCGTTTGGTTCATTGGGTTGATGGATTAGATTTTAGACCATCATTAGCAGTACCATTTTGGTATATATGTCATTAAATCTAGTTTCATAATAATAGACTGCTTAGATAGAATTTTTCATTTGGGGATATAAAAATAACTTATGAGGACTTGATAGTGTAAATGCTTGAAGTATATAAATTAAATATAATTTCATCACAGAGTATAATATGTGGAAGGAAATACTCAGTTGTGAGGTTATACTTGGTTACAGACTAAACACTAAGATTTTGCAATAATCTGCTGTGGAAAATTAATCTCTACATATAAAATACTGATCACGCTTGTTCTTTTACACTTATTAATAATCATCCCTAAATTGAGGTGCCTGGTATTTCCTCCTTTCCATTCCTAATAGAGGGATGGAAAGCAGACTTTCAGGAATTTCTTTCCTAATGTTCTTTTCTCTTGTTTCTGTAGACGAGGGCACAATGTGCTGAAAATTCAGCTTCCCTATAAGGAAGAACATGTTATCTTAGTGCGTTTGTCAAAAATCCAGCGGGCTCTTTATACTGAGTTCATGAATAGGTTTCGTGATGCAGGCAACAGCGGCTGGCTGGGACTGAATCCACTTAAAGCTTTCTGTGTTTGTTGTAAGGTGTGTTTTTAATAAAAAGGGAGCAGTATTTTGTGTAGGGTTTTATGAAAATATAACTGTTAGGATGATATTAGTATTATTTAGAAGTCACTTTCTTTTCATTCTACATCTTGAATGCTGTGTCTAATTTTTTGTAACAATATGATGATAATACAGAATACAACCATCTTTTAAGGTTCCCCTAAACATTCTCTGAATACCAGTTACCAGTGATACAAAGCCTTAGATTGCAATTTGGCTTGGGGTATTTTGTTTTGAGTGCTTTGACTAACTGAACACAGCAATATTAATGACATGAAAAGACTATCTGTATTTTTAATCAGAATAATTTTGCAAAATAAACTTTTCCAACTTGTAGACTTTTCTTACATAAAGCCTTACTGTGTTTCCCCAGCCCTTATATATTTATTTAAAAGATTGGCCGCAAACCTCTTTGTTGCTTTTGCTGCAAGAGACTAATTTGGGTGCCCCTCTGGAATTTGGTAAAATTATTGCTGCTTACGCTCACCCCCTTCAGTGAGGCAACCATAATTGTAGGTAAAGAAAATAGTCACCAGTCTCATGAATGAAAAACACCTAGAATTAATAATAAATAATAATTAAGTATTTGATAATAATTGCCAAGTAATTTGCCATCCTCTCTCAGATATGGAATCACCCTGATGTGCTATATGAAGCATTGCAAAAAGAAAATTTAGCAAATGAGCAAGATCTGGATGTAGATGACCTTGGCACAGCTGGTACCAATTCACGCTGCCAGTCACAGGGCATAAAAGTGAAAACAGAGAGCAATGCTCTGCCATCTACAATTGGGGAGGCTACCAATAGCAAGTATATTCAGGGCATTGGCTTCAGTCCATTTCAGGAAAGAGCCAATCAGGTTGTAACGTATGAATGGGTGAGTACTAAAATCAAAACTCTTGGTGTTTTTTTTAAACTTCTTCTTCCTTTTCTCTTAAGCATGGTGGATGTTTGAAGCAGTATCTTACATCTATCTGTGCACAAATGTATTACATTCATGCTATGCATGGACTCATTTCCCATCGAAAATATTTGAAAGGTCATTGTTATGTATGAAATAGTTCTGTGTAGTATTTTTCTTACCTTTGGCTCCTCTTTTCATTTTTGTGAAAAATCTCCTGTCTTCCTATTTTACTCATTGCAGCTTCAAATGGGACCATTTACTGCTATTATTATTCTATAGCAATTCTCTGATTATTCTTGTACTATCTGGATATCTTTTTTATCTGTGCTTTTGTAGAATGTAGCTGGTAATTGCTGTGCTTGTAGGATTATCTAACTAGAATGAGAATATGGGCTATATCCCAGAGCTTAGGTATAGTGAAGGAAGCTAAGAACATTGGGGTTCTATGATGCTGAAAACTTTACAAACCCTTTTGTATTGTTAATACTTTTGTGTACATATGACCTAAAAGGTGATCTGTTCTCCCCACAAGTCCTAAAACTGAATAAAGAGAAAAGTAAATAATGAAGTCAAAACCATTATACTTGTTTAAAGAATAGCTTTCCTATGCTGCAATGCAAGTCCTTGCTTTTTGCCAAATGTTAATGCTTTTCATTCAAGTCCAAAAGTACTTCTGTATTTATGCAGAAATACTAAAAACTCAAAAAAGATTCACAAACTTTTAAGTATCACTGTAGTTTAGAAGCAGTATAACAGAATAACAGAATTGGAAGGGACCTTCAAGGTCTTCTAGTCCAATCCCCTGTCCAATCCCCTGCTCAAGCAGGAGACCCTATATATCCGTGATGGTGAACCTATGGCACGCGTGCCACAGGTGGCACATGTAGCCATATCGGTGGGCACGTGAGCTCAGCTCCGGCATGCATGTGTGCATCAGCCAGCTGATTTTGGGCCTTCTGGGTCCACTGGAAGTAGGGAAACAGGCTGTTTCCTGCCTCTGGAGGGTGGTGGAGAAGGCCTGTTTTTTCTCCCTCCCCAGGCTCCAGAGCCTTTCTAGGATCTTGGGGAGGGTGAAAACGGCCTTCCTCACCCCCCGGAGGCCCTCCGGAGGCCAGGAATGGCCCGTTTGCCAATTTCTGGTGTGACTGGAAGTTGGCAAAAGGGCCATTTCTGGACTCCGGGGTGTGGGGAAAGCCGTTTTTGCCCTCCCCGAGCTCCTAGAAAGGCTCTGGAGCCTGGGGAAGAGCAAAAAAACAGGCCTACTGGGCCCACCGTGCCATCACATGCCAGGAGCAGGGGGGAGCACACGCATGCGCAGGGCGGGCTGTATAGAATTATGGGTGTGGGCACCTGTGCGCGCGACACCCCCTCCCCCCGCTCGTGGCACGCAATGGCAAAAAGGTTAGCCATCACTGCTATATATCATTTAGTTCTCTAGTCGTATCTTAAAAACCTCCAGTGATGGAGCACCCACAACTTCTGGAGGCAAGTTGTTCCACTGATTAATTGTTCTAACTGTCAGGAAATTTCTCCCTATTTCTAAGTTGGTTCTCTCCTTGATCAGTTTCCATCAGTATATGTGAAGGTTTAGGGTTTTAAAAATCAAATCCTGTGTAATTATGGTATTTAGGTGGATAATAAAGAAATTGTCAAAGGACATGTTTTATGAGAAATAGATTTTTGCTATTTTTTGGAAGGACTTAGCATTATATTGCTAATGAGTGGATTTGTTTCTGATTATGTTTGTAAGGACACACAAGATATTAGGGAAATCCTGAGTTATAAATTGAATTGTGATGTAGCAAGTGTCACTGAGAGATGTTCTGTTTTATCTGCAGGCTAAAGATATCCTTTGTGATTATCAGACAGGAGTCTTACAAAATTCACCTAAGATGGTGCTATTGTTTCATCTAGTAGAAGAAAGTGTGAAACTTGGAGATAAACTATTGGTGTTCAGGTAAAAAGGCTATGGGAAAACATTTAAAATATATTGTAAAGCAGTGTGAATAAATATTATTAATTTATTATTAATAATTATAATAATTAATTATAACTATAATTAAAAATTATTAATTTCAACTGAACTATTCATTAAAACATTATCTCATAGAAAGAGAATTTTCATTATATTTCTGCTGATTAACTAATAATAAATCCCTTGTTGATTTCCTACATTTTAAAGATTACCTTTAAAAGATGCTTAAAAATGACAGTGGGTTCAGCCTAACTGGAGAATGCCTAGCAAAGAGCACTATATTATTTTCCCTACTTTTAAAAGTTTTGCCATGGTTGCATTTGATTTTGAGGCATTTTTCAACATGGTTTTCCAAGTTGTAAAGATCTGGATGCAATTTAATGTTGCTTCCATGTTTCCATGATCTTTTAACATCTGAGATACAGTTGGTTTTGACTGTAGAACATCGACTACTCAATAAAGGGTGCTTGAACTTTTACTTCACTTTTCATAAAATGATGATATTCTGTAAAGTAGCAAAGCCAGTCAACTAGAATTTGGGATTAAAGATATGTTTTATGTTTCTGTTGGCTAGCATACTGTTGATTTTATTGCAGACCACTTTTTAGGATACAAGCAAAAATTCGTAGCTTACAACAACCTGAGCCTACTTTTTTGTGGGAGAAATTTAGAACTATAACAATTTAGAAAAAGAACTAGAAAAATATGGAAAAAAATCTGCTAGAGTTTTATATCTCTCAGTATAGCTCCATTGTTGGGTTTCTTCAGTTGATAATATAGAAACTATTCTGCCTGCCATCATTATTTTTACGTATATATTAACAATTAACTTGACCCTCTTCTTTCAATTTGAAATCGTTGCCCTATTCCTATTCCTTCATTGGGCCATGCATATGACGGTGAGGATGGGTTAACTTACATGGAATCATCATGTGTAAAATTGGCTGACAGCGTGGACAGAGTCTAAACTTTACTACTTAAGCTGTACTGTCAAGCATTTATGTGTTTTTTGTCTGAAAGAAACTCTTGTCTTTTTATAGCCAAAGCCTTTCCACATTGTCTGTCATTGAAGATTTCTTGGCAAAAAGGCCAGTGCCTTCTCCCCCAGGCTTGGATGCACAAGGAATCCATAACTGGATCCGAAATGTGAATTATTATAGTAAGTATAGCAAATTCTTCAATCTCTAGAGATTTTGCTGCTGGGCAGATCTTGAAAAATACCAAAAAATCTAGCACCTTTTCAAAGTAATGAAAAGGCATAAACTTGTGTGAAAGACAGCTCACTTCACCAGATGCGTGGAATGACATACTCCGTGCACCTGACCAAGCTTCTGAAAACCCATCCTTTAAAATATATATATATATATATCCCCCTGGCAGCAGTTTCTCCAAATATATATATATTGGAGAAACTGCTGCCAGGGGCCTTCTGATTTTTGGCTTCTATACATTAACTCTCCTTCAGCATTGAAAAATACTACTTTTCTTGCATTTTTTTTCATGGTTGAAGCATGTGGTCTTCTTCCTATTTATATGATTGGTTGCAAGATTTTTGAATAATGTTTTGGTTAGAAGTAGCTTTAAATGGATTTTGCCGTATTCATTTATCACATCTGTTCTCTCAGACAATCATAGTTTTTGTACTCTACATAGTTTTATTTTGTGGTGGTTATGCAGAAATGTTTGTAATAATCTAATTATTTTCACATAGGATTGGATGGAAGTACCTCTGCCTCAGAGAGAGAACGATTGATTAACCAGTTCAATGATCCTAGCAACACTTCTATTTGTCTCTTCCTTCTTTCAACAAGGTAAGTTCGAGTACTTACTAAGGATAGAGACATGCGATTGACTATGAAGAATTGTGGATAATGTGCATCCTGAAAAAGGATGGGATCTAATTCATATAAAGAACATTTAGAATTCCATTTGGATTTAGTTGGTTTTTCCCCCCATATCTGTTATCTTCAAATATTAGCATCATATTAATTTATATAGTTTTGAACAAAACCAGTAAATCCCAATTAATATTTGATTTACAGTATACCAGGCAACATTTCAGGCCCAGGCAAATAACTATTCATTTTTTCCCCCCTCCAGAGCTGGGTGTTTAGGTGTGAACCTTATTGGTGCAAACAGAGTGATAGTATTTGATGCTTCTTGGAATCCATGCCACGATGCACAGGCAGTATGTCGGGTATATCGCTATGGACAGAAGAAGCCCTGCCACATCTACCGGCTAGTTTCTGATTACACTTTGGAAAAGAAAATTTATGACCGTCAGATCTCCAAGCAAGGGATGTCAGGTAGATCGTGCCTTGCCTTAGGCAGATCTTGCCATGCAGTAGGCAGATTTCTTTTGGTCTCTGAATTTGGCTCTCTTTGCTTTTAGGTTTGGCATAAGATTTCCAGCTCTCCCCATCTTCACCCCACCCACCCTTTTTAAAGGTGCAATAATTTGCTAATATCACAGGTTAAGGGAATGTTATTGGAGATACAAATGAAGCAGGAACTGTAGTTCTTCCCCTTTGGTGATCAATGTATATTTTCTTTAGATCGTGTTGTGGATGATTTGAATCCAGTGTTGAACTTTACCAGGAGGGAGGTGGAAAACTTGCTGCACTTCGTGGAAGAGGAATCTGAGCCTGCCCAGCTTTCATTTAACCCCAGTAAGATCAAGGAATCTGTTTTACAGCTGGCCTGTCTCAAGTACCCTCACCTCATCACCAAGGTTAGGAAAGAGAGTAAAACCCTCATATCCATGCTATTTTAATAAGTCGGCTGTAAAAATTACATCTAAATAAAGTATATTAAAAATGTATGGTGCCTGCAAGAAATTAAATTCAAGAAAATTTAACGAAGTGCTTGTTTATGTCAAGGAAAGCTCAGGGTTAATATATTGTTTACATGTTTCATCATAGTTGGGATTCAGCAGTGTTACTTCATTGGTAAATACCATTATCCCTTTGCAACAAATTCCTTAGTTTTATCTCACATTATACTGCCGCATACATTCCCAAGAGTTGGAGGAATCTCCAGATCAGATCTGAAGTGCATTGAGAGAAGTGGTGGTGGTGTAGATTGCGGGGCGGCAGGGGAGATGAGAAAGTATTATTATGTAGGTAAAATCTGCTTCTTTAATATTGGCTGTAGTCTAGCATAAGGACTGACCTCTAAATTTTTGCAATCTTACTGCTTGATTATCTATCTGGATAATAAAGATGGCAAGTGGCTGTAGTTCAGGTTTCCTCAAAATGGTCAGTATTGACCACCAAAGGTCAATGGGACAATTTTATTTTTTTTTTAATTTGATTTATATGCCGCCCTTCTCCGGAGACTCAGGGCGGCTTACAATGCGTTAAGCAATAGCCTTCATACTTTTGTATATTTATACAAAGTCAGCTTATTGCCCCCACAAACTGGGTCCTCATTTCACCTACCTTAGAAAGGATGGAAGGCTGAGTCAACCTTGAGCCTTGGAGAGATTCGAACCAGCAGTAAATTGCAGGCAGCTGTGTTAATAACAGGGTGCATAGACCACTGTACTATCAAGGCAATTCATTCCTGTTGTTTTTGTATAGTACTATTAGTTAACATAATATTTATTAAATTATTTTCTTATAATGTTTGGGGGTCGAACAATCTGAAACTTTCATGACAGGGTTGATGAGCTGAAGCGTTTGGGGTCCCTTCTGTAGATGAAGATCTGACTTTTCCCCAAAAGGCACTGAGGCCAGGATATGTATGGAGGCCTGGCATTTGTGGACGTCCCTGCAGGCTGGGACTTGGCAATTTCCTGCTGGCTTCTCTATTAATATTGGTTGTGGGAAGTCAGCCAGCAACAAGCTCCTAACAAGCATGGGATTTGGTTAACATCTGCAATTAGGACTACAGGGATTGCTATCACCAAGCAATGCAGATACGCCTTATAATTCCATGAATTAGCAGTGGAAATTTCTATCCCATTTGCTATCATAAATCAAGGACTATCAGTATGTTTAATAAATAAAAAACACACTGATGCAGAAGAAGATTTCTTCCCATTCCTATATTAGATTAAACATTGTGGCATAACACTAAATGCGTATTTCTAAGATAGAGCAACCTAATGTCCTGATATTATCAAGGGGGATTAAATGCTTATAAAATAATATCAAAATGATCCTAATTATTTCATTAGAACATTTGGAGGATTATTTTGATTGTTCGGGGGAGGAGGGATTGTTGTTTGACTTCTTACTGTTTTGTGATACTTTCAATAAACCAGCCTCCTTATGCTTTAATCACCACAGGAGCCTTTCCAGCACGAGTCCCTGCTAATCGATCGTAAAGAGCACAAGCTCACCAAGGCAGAGAAAAAAGCTGCAAAAAAAAGCTATGAGGAAGAAAAGCGCGCATCTGTCCCTTATACCCGTCCTTCCTATGCTCAGTATTACCCAGCCACTGACCAGAATCTGACAAATATTCCTGCCTTCAATCAAAGGAACTGGTGGGTATCTTGTTCCTTTCCAGGAAGTCAAAACAGGAGTAGCAAAATGTATCTCCTACTTCTCCCCCCTTGGCAATGTTTTCCTGGTCCCCAGAACATAGGTAAAACAAAGGAGGGTATTGTCGTCTTGATAGCTGTGAACAGTTGAAGCTGATATAGAAAACGAGTCGATACTTAGAGTGCATTGAACAGAATCTTATTGCGATGGGGAAACCAATATTGAAAGTACCAATAGCACATTCAGGCCATAGCCCACAGGCTTAGTAGTACGCACTTCCCATCTAGGATATTAGATATGTTTTTTATATTCATTACTATCGATTTCTTGACACAATGTGGGAGAAAATAAAAGCATTTCTGTTTAGTATATCATTTATTAAAGGTCTTCCTTAGATGATTGCATATAGAGAAATTAATATGCGATTGGTAGCTCATAGTCATCTTTGTAGTGTATTTATTCCCTTCTTGTGGAAGATTGAGGAAGAGTTATTTAAGCAGAAACAGGGTGATGGAGTGGAAGCAGGAGTGCTATTCAGCTTCTGACAGGTTCTGGAGAATCGGTAGCGGAAATTTTGAGTAGTTCAGAGAACCGGCAAATACCACTTTTGGCTGGCCCCAGAGTGGGGTGGGAATGGATATTTTGCAGTATCCTTCCCCTGGAGTGGGGTGGGAGTGGAGATTTTGCAGTATCCTTCCCCTAGCACGCCCACCAAGCCACGCCCACAGAGCCAGTAGTAAAAAAATTAGAATTCCACTGCTGCATGGAAGGTCCTGCTTGTGAAAAGAGGCTGTTTCAAATTCTGTAATCACATTGACTTATTCCTTGCTTTGTAGGCGACCAAGCCTGAAAGGTGAGGACCGGCCAGTGGCAAGCGTGCGTCCTGTTCAGTCAACCCCTATTCCGATGATGCCTCGTCATGTTCCCTTAGGTAGTATGGGAGCAGCTTCAGTTTCCAATCCTGCTATTAACTTCCCCATCAATTATCTGCAACGAGCTGGTGTTCTCGTGCAGAAGATTGTCACCACAACAGGTCAGTTGCTTTGGCAATTACACTGTAATCTACCTTTCTTAGGAAACGAGATTGCACCAAAAATGAATAGAGAGAAAAAAATATATTCAAGAACACATTGAGGTTAGTTCTCTGATAACAGAATCTTATGTTGACCCTTCATTGCTATGTTTTAAACAGGACAGCCTATTTCTAAGGCTCAGGGTCCAGTCCTAACATAGGACTAAAACAAGACTTAATTGCCATTACTTTAATTCATTCTACATGTTTATCTTCCTTATATTTGCTCTAGGGGTAATAGAGAATATTCTTCCATTATGACAGAAAACATTGGCAAAAATATTTGGTGATACAGACATAACGTGCCTAATGAAAATTCTGCATTCTACCCAGCTATCAAATGTGTTGGAGGCTTAGTCATTTTTATACTTGCGTTTCTCTTTTCATTTTACAAAAACACAAAGTACTTGAAAAGACAAAGGAGAGTAGTTGAAATGTCACTGCTGCAGTCTCCTTTGTTAACTCATCGTTTTCTTGAACTAACAGTTAAATGTAGAGCATTATCCATTAATATAATTTTTTACTGGCTTTTTCTCTCCTACTGTACTTTTAAAACATATAAATACGCATTGGTTCTGTGTTTTATGTAATACTCAGCCAAAAGTAACTAAATACTTGGAAGATGTAATTTTATTTAATGTTTTTAATTGAATCCACTTTGAAGCCTCATGCAGTGATTCATATACCTTTTATTTTATCCATTTTAGATATAGTGATTCCAGGTACGAACACTTCCACAGATGTGCAGGCAAGAATCAGCGCTGGTGAAAGCATACATATTATCCGTGGGACTAAAGGTAATTGAGATAGTTTTCCATTATAGATTTTAGCTTGCAAAGTGGGGTGAGGGTGGACTTTATTTTTTTTCTTTTTCTTCTATATTTCTTCTCTATTCTATCATCTCTTGTTCAGAAAGTAAAATGCCATTGGGAAAAAATCTCCATACAATAAAGAATTTCCACATGGTTTTCTACCACAAATTAACATATATTGATTGATTGATTTCCTTAGTTCATATGGACCATGTTCATTCATAGTTTTTGATCATGCATTTGTTCGTTATTGACCTGTTTTAATATAGACATTGTGATAGTAGTTTGAGATTACAGTAGAGATTGTAATGTAGTTAGCCATCTCACATCTCTTTATAAAGATATTTTGAAGATAGAATTAAGTTTATCAGGATAGTGAAAGGAGATTTTGCCCTTTCCAAGTAAGGATTTCTGTACATTGTTGTTGTGTGATCTACAATTAACATAGTACATTTCATTTTTTGCCAGAAGTCTTTATTTTAGTAGTCTGCTTTCATCATCTCAGTACTATCTTAGCCAAATATTGGATGCTGCTTATTGTGCAAGCTGCTTTTTAAAAACCCCTTTTGTTTAAATATCATTGGCCTTTCAAAAATATAGTATTTGAAAAAATAGTCACTTACAAGAGGCAGAAGGAAAGTTGATTGTAAATTGTTCATAAGGCCTAGTTATTTTGCTGCTATAAAGAACCTTTCTTTCACCTCTTACAGGCAGTCATCACTTAATGACCACAACGATCTGTCACTTTGTCACTAAGTGATGCAGTTGCTAAGTGAAATATCGCGTGACCACAATAGATTTATGTCACTTTTCACTCAGTTGTTAACCTAGTCATTACAGGTTAAGCAAGACATCACATGACCGTGGCTTGTGATTTTACTGCCAAGTTCTCCATTAACTCTGTTTATTGGACACTGGTGGTGAAGTGTGCAAATGGCAGTCACATGCTGCAATCATCATAAATGCAAGGACTACTTGTAAAGTTATTTTCTCAACACCATCATAACTTTGGTTGCTAAACAGGGCATTTGTTAAACGAGGTCTACCTGCATTTTGTACAACAACCAGTTATTAGTGAATGAATTTGCATTGAATACAAAATTTGTATTTTGTAACTCCATACAAAATGGAGTTGAAAAACCAGTAACCTCATTAGGGGTATTAGACAACCCATGACCAGTTGGATTATTATTTCAGAGATATTTCCTTACCAAATTCCTCTATGTCTTCAACAATGGCAGTTCTTCTAATGTGCTGCCTTCACTGGAAAAGATTCAGGGATACATTCAGAAATGTATCTGCCTTGAAAATTGCCCATGTTGAACTGTAGAACACAGCCAAACATCACGAGTCGACCACCTGGAATGAATGCCATTTGCTTATAGGTCCCTGTTTAATTGATACAACCTTTCTTGGTTGCTGCTAGATTCTGCACTTCAATTAATTAAATTCTTCTTACATATTCTTTAAGTAAGAAAATGTAACAGGGAACTAGCATGTTACAGTGCAGAGCACAAGTCACAACCATAATTAATACTTACAATAATGTCCTTATAGACTCCAGAGACATTACTAGAAAATAACATGATGAGTGGCTGGAGGCATGTCCATCTAGCCGGTAGACAGACCAGTGTCAAGAAAATTGTTACAGAGAATCCTAGAAGTCTGTTGTTGTGAACTATAGTACCGTAGCTGTCTTATTATACCTATAAAATGCTCTATTGACTCCCCCCAATTAATTATTATGATCCATGTCTCTCCCAGGAACATACATCCGGACCAGTGATGGGCGGATCTTTGCTATCCGAACTACTGGCAAGCCAAAGGGCAGTGAAGATCATCGCATGGTTGCTTCAGGTGAGCACCGTTTCTGAGTGTCTCTTCTATTATTTTATTTTGAAAGCTTTCAAAGGGATTATAGATATATAATTATAGATATTCAAAACTATTTTTCTAACAACAGTAATAAAATGTAGATATTAGAAGAGTGGATATTAAAAGAATAGAATGCATTCAGTTGGAGAAATGATATAATAATAATTATTAATTTAACAAAGTTGGAAGGGACCTGGGAGGTCTTCTAGTCCAACCCCCTTCTTAAGCAGGAAACCCTACACCACCTATCCCCACCACCTGGAACGAGCTGAAAATGGGATGCATGGAGGAAGAAAATGGGGCGTGCGCAGGCGGCAATAGGCAGCAGCGGCGATGGGCAGTGGCGATCCCCGCAGCCTGGAACAGCTGATACGCAGTATTCCGGGAGGCAGATCCAACTGCCAATCAGCTGCTCGTGCTAAATCAGGCTGTGCTGAAGCTGACCAAGCTGTTTGCTGCAAGGAGGCAAATTGCTGGAAGGCAGAGACCGAAGGGTGAGAGCGGCGGGTGGGTGGGGCTTCAGCAACATTCGCTGTATAAGACGCACAGATATTTCCACCTACTTTTGGGGGTGGCGGGATATGCGTCTTATACACTGAAAAATATGGTAGCTTTTTTTCAAACACATGACAGCCTGGAACAGATGTGAAAAAGAAAATCGATCTTTATATTCCTCTGTCAAAAATCATGTACAATAAAAGCAGACAGGAGAGTTTGCAAAACCCATGCCAAAATCAGCCCCATAAATTGAGTAGGGAAAAGAAAAGACAAATGGCGAAGGAGATACAACATTGGAGCAATATTCTTCCATTTTTGTCACTAGAATACAGGTAATAGCAAGTAATTCAAACGTTTAGAGATGTGGTTTCTAAGCAGAGAGTTTGGAACAAGATTGATCTGTTACAGTAAGAAAGTACAGGTATACATCACCTGTCCTGCCAAAATAATGCAAATTTTCAGCCTGTTAAGTTGTGTTGAGAGAAAAAGCTTTAAAACTGAATCTTGAATCCTTCCTTTCTCTCTTCCTTTTCTTGGAAATTGCTGGGTTTCTTCTTTAAGAACTTTTCTGGTCCTTGCAATGAAACCGGTTTATCAAGAGCTATGTCCTGGAATCTCTGCCTGTAAGCTTTTAGTGTTAGTATCACTTGAGAAAAAGTTCATTCATGCTCAGAAGGATATTGTAATACGTAGTATTGAAAGATGGATTGATCCAGAAAAAAACATCAGGGATGTAGGCACTAAATGCTACCGTCTGGAGGACAACCACCATTCATTGTACCGTAAACATTTCTTAAACCCTACTGCCCATAATAGTTTAGGTTCCCCATCTGCTACTGAAATGAGTCACTGAAAAACAAAAATAGCTTACAGCCTCGTTAATCAGGCTGTTTTTTTCTACGACCTCCTCTGATACTTTAGTGCCATTTCTGGTTACTTTCTCTGACTTGCATGTTGTTATACTCTGCTTTACGTAGGATCCCAGGGTCCATCTGTTGAATCCACAAGCAATGGCAGACACAATGCCTCATCACCCAAACTTCCCAACCCAGAGGAGCTCACTCGACCTATTTCGCCAGACAGTCCTGAAATCATCAGCGAACTGCAGCAATATGCAGAGGCGGCAGCTGCCCGTGAGTCCAAACACAATTCTCCCACCACCAATACGACACCTGGATACCCCACTCGGAAAGACAATGCAGCCCACACGACAGCTTGTGGAACTGAGCAGCGAGTAGGGACCCACGGTTTGGCTTCTTCCTCAGCCTTGCCAGCCACTAGTCAACATGTTGACAGCCACTCAGTGCTGGACTTACGAGGGAATAAGCGTAAGTCAAGTTCACCATCTGGTCCAGATGAGCAAGCCCATCGCCAGCAGAAGAAACGCTCACTGCCAACAACAGGTCAACCATATGAAAGTGGGTACCCTGTCTCTGGTGGGTTCACCATGCCCTCTGTCCCTTTAAACCACAACTTAACCCATCCATTTGCTCCCCAAGCAGGCAACTCATTGTACATGGGCACAGGCTCCTCCTATTACCAGCTGCCTAGCTTGCTATCAGATCCTCATCTGATGTTCCCTGTGACTACTGACCCTCTGCTGACAGCGGGCACTGCTAGTTCTTCTGCTGCTACCTCAGCCACCGCCAGTGTCCCCTCTTTCATGTTAAACCCCTCCATGACGGGGGTGCTCTCCAACTATTCGCTGCCCTTCTCACAGTCACTCCTCTCTGAGCCCAGGATGTTTGCTCCTTTTCCAACCCCTGTCTTATCCAGCAGCCTTCCCAGGAGCATGGCATCTGCCTACCCTGGCTTCATGTCACCTCACACGGGATATCCAGCGGGGGGCCTCCTTCGGTCTCAGGTGCCTCCATTTGACACCCGTGAGGTCTCTGAGGTGGGCTGCAGCTCCAACGAGGATGAGGACAAAGATGATGATGTAATAGAAATCACAGGGAAGTAATGGGCCTAGTCACTTCTTATAGATTGCATCTTTGGTCAGGAGGCAAAAATTCCTTGCTGGACCTTTCTGGGGTCAGGATTTTATATCTAGAACACAGCAGAAGTGGAGAAGGAGGAGGCTGGAAAGGAAATGGCATGTTTAGTTGTCAAAGATCTGCTTTGTATGGGAACTGAATTGAATGGACACCCCTCCCCTAGGAGTGGGGAGAAACAAGAGTTGGGCAAGGGAAGTATCACTGCAAACCACAGGAGTGCCTCCTTGACTTTTCCCTCCCATGCTGTCTGTGTTGTCCAAAAGGAAGACTTGCCATTAATATTTCAGTGCCCTTTGTTAGACTGGAGACATCGGGCTGATTTTTTTTTTTTTTTGGTGTCTATGGAATAACACTCATACACAAACGGCCTTATCTGAGAAAGTTCATTGTCCCATGATCAAAAGCAGGAGATTTTGTGCCCTAAGAAACCTGAGAATGAATTGCATTCTTAATGGAGGGAGGGAGGTGGGAAAGGAAGGAGCAGGCAACATGTCATATGTAGGTGGGAGGGAAGGGGTGGGCAGGGTCTGTGTGAAAATGAATTTTTCATCTTTCTGAACGTTCAAGGCAAATTAGTCCAGTGCCCTTCATCCAGGCCCTCGTGGAGTGGTGGCAGGAGTTGGAGAGATGGGGTGCAAATATGGACTGCCCTACCACCTTCTCTAAGAGTTGCGTTTGAAGACGGGGAGGGCCATTGGTGGGTCCGTTTCTTCTGGTTTCTTCAGCACCATTGGGTTAGGACTTGTGTCAATCGTTTAGTGAGGTAGTGCTTGATGGAGACATTTTAAGGCTTTCCCCAGTTCCCCATCTAGCTTTTTTTAGTGATTACTCTCCTGCTGCTCCTCCTTCTCCCCCTTTGAAACGATGATGAGCCTGCAGGTCTGGCAAAAGAAACAAGCTGTCAGATTTCTGTTGACCAGAATGAAGTGGACTTCCTGCTAAAGGGGTTTGCTTGAGCTCCTTGTACCTGCTGCCAGAGTTTTTATTGACACTGACTGGATGACCTCCCTCCTCCATAGAACTCTTGTTTTAATTTATTTCATGAAAGTGAAGTATTTATTGGGGAACTATTTCCCGCTTCTTCCTTGCTAAAAGCAGTTAGGTTGTTTATAGTCTGGCCTGTTTGAGAAAGGAATAAAGCGACAAGTAGATTGCTTGACAAATGCAGGGGTGTTTTATAGGGCCAAGGCAGAATTACCCCCACCCCTGTGCTTCATTGGGGAGACTGGGGGCCAGGGGCATTATTTGGCTAGAGCTTTGTTTATTCTCTAGTTTTTTCCCTTACAATGGGCAACAGGGAGGTTGGTGTTTGAAGTGGCTCTCTCATCAGTCAGAGACATGGATTTTTTAAACTAGGTTCCTGCCATTCCAGTGGTTTAATAGTAAAAAAGCTAAAGCTTTGCAGAGGAAAGTCCCCTCTATATTGTTGCTAGTATCTGGCCCAAGTTTTTATAATACGTTGCCACAGAAGTGTGGAAGGAGAAGCCATTTATTTTCATAGAAGGCTTAACAATAGAAGGAAGTTGCAGAGATTTGGCATAGAAATCGACATTTGCCTTCCTCTCTATGGTGCAGGAAAGGGAGACGGTGGTACCTCTGAGGGGGGAGATGATGGAATAATCCCCTCCCTGTTTGTCCTTAAAAGATTACACCGGCTAAAATGGTGTTTTATAAGACATTGTCATTCCAAAGACAAGGGAGGAGGCCCTTGCACTCCCATGACGAGGAGTCAGTGAGAGCACTGCTAAGAAAACCTTCCCAGGATGGTGGCTCACATCCTGTTCTCACCTTATCTTTGTTCTGTGGTTGCTGCAAAGAAGACAGTGGATCCACTGAAGTGGTTAAAATTGCCAGGCTTCCCCACCTCCCACCCCAATCATGAAGAACTTTCTCTCTTTCGTGCGTCATACCTCTCCGTGAAAAGTTTGAACTCCACGTGATTTGAATGGAGGTAATGTGAGAATTGAGCCTTTGCTCATCCCTATAAAAGACCTACCAGACCCCTTAGTTAAAGAGGTCGTGGCTACTTGTTTTTTCATATGGTGAATCAGAAATGATTCTGAGAGAAAGCGCTGCGTGGGTACGACTGTGTGGATGTGTATACTTTTATGTACCATTAAAAAGCATGTAAAGTTGGGCTTTCTGACTATCTTTCTCTGCTAACTGGGCACTGTCTGTCAGGCCCGACTTCACCATTTGTAGAAGCCTTAGATTTAAAGTTAGCTATGCAAATTACTTTAATTATTTTAAAATAAAAACATTAAAATAGTGCTTTCTTCTTTAACATATCCTAGGAGTTGAAAACCGAGGGGTTCTGAGCAAACTTCTGGACAACTTGTCTTTGGATGCACCATGGGATTAAAAAAAAACAAAAAACACAAACACAACCCCCCCACAAAAATAACAAAGCAAATTAACTGATGGTGTCCATTCGAGTTTCTCCAAAGACTTGGCCTTGGTACGTCTGTGAGTCATGCCCTTTTGTGATTTGTATGTGTCCACCTCATGCAAAATAATGACGGCACTGATTGTACTGTAAACTGCAACCCTCTAGGTTGACTCGGGAACTGGATCTAGGCAAGGGGGCTTATGCCTAAGCAGCTAAGCAATTTTTGGTGAAGGATTTTCATTTTTTTCTCCCTTCAGGTTTCAGGCAGGCCCAATATTCAGTATAGTGAGTTTTGGGCAGCAGAGCTGATAACAATTCAAGTAATCCTACTAGCTCCTGTCTTGACTTCCATGGAGTAATGGGGCAGTCAAGACAAGCTAATACGTTTTATATACTATTAACTTCAGACTGCTGCTTCCCGATTCTCTTGTCTCTTTTGAACATCATAGCTGAGCACAGAAGAGTCACCAGACTTGACAGGCTTTGAGGACATCCTTACTGTAAAATATGGGATGTTTGATTAGGAGAATAGATGCAGCTGTGATTAAGTAGACCAGGCTCTATAGTCATCTTTTAAATAGGACTGGAAGATAAGGTATTAGCTGTAGGAAATGGTGTACACCTGTAATTTACTAGTCTGACCACTGGATGGCAATGTTGCATCACTTGGATGATTACTAGATTTTAACAATACAATATTTTTAAAAATTGGCTTTTGTACTTGGGTGAGAAAAGTATAAAAATGTAAGTCTGATTGTGTACATCTTTCTTTTCTCTCTCTATCTCCCTCCCTCTCTTTTTCTTTCTTGTCATTTCTCTTTCCCCTAAAATGTTTATGTTAGTGGATTGCTTGAACATAATTCTTCCACTGACAGGGTCCATTCGGGGTCTCTCTCTCTCTTTCTCTCTCTCTCCCTTTCTTGCTCTCTCTCTCTCTCTCACACACACACACACACACACCTACCTTCAGTTAGACCAGCCACTTTCTGTGAGCTTTGGAAAGAAACATATTTGGGGCAGATTCCTCTACTTCAGCAAGTGCCTGACCTGTGTCTCCTTCTAATAATAGGGGGTTTAAATGTAATTGGTCTCCTAGAGATTAAAATGCATTCCCAGCACTTGCCAAGAGAGAACAGTGTTGCCACTGGCAATGAAGACGGCATTCTTCTGCTTTGCACCCTTCTTGCTTCTAGAGAGCATCAAAAACACCCTCTTTCTCATATATGAATTCTCCCACGCATTCAACATCCTTAGGAAGGTGTGGCTTCTAGAAACAAAGGGTGGCTGTTGTGCCTTGTTTGTGAAGAACAGAGAATGCTTGACTTGGGAGTTGAGTCAGAACAGCACAGTGACTTACGTAGTATAATGTCAGAATGGTCCCTTCCTTGATGCACTGTAATTTCCAAGAATGTAGTGGCTGCTCAGAAGCAGCATATGTGTTTGTGTTGCGAGATCTCTGAATTCAACTATTCCTTTTATCTCAAGGATAATTCTTTTCCCCTTGCTGGCTTTTTGTTAGATCTACTTGCCAGGGTCTGTGCAATTTGCACTGCTAAATTTCAGACCACAAAAGAAACGAGGAGGAATACACATATTCTGAATTTACAGGTGGAGCTGAGATACCATTAGATATGCTTGGCTAAGGTCTTGGGATACTTAGGAAGGTTCTTGCATTCCCCGGCTGTTTTGGATCTGCATGTAATCTTTGGATCTTCCTTGATAAACCATACATTGCAATATTTCTCTGCGCTTTAGAGCAACAGCACTGTACCAGATTGGTGTGGTACACAACAACACTTGATCCCCTTAATAAATGCTTAGGGTAAAAGAGGTGACCTTAAACTGTGATATTTTACAGACCTTGCTACTATGTTCAGTTTCACTCCAATTCTGGCAGTATACAATTTAAAATTGACAAAAGATCATCTTGTTTAGACATAGATTTCCTATGATGAATTATTTTTTTGGTGAGAATAACACTGGAGGACTTCTCCCCAACCATATTAAGAATTGCCCACATGTCTGCATGCTAATTACTGCTCTCTATCTCCATGTGACCAAGATACGGAAATGAGAAGCGCTGTCCACAGAGGGCAGGTTTGATATTAAAGTGCTCCTACAGAATTGCATTCTGTGGGACACAGTTATATGGACATAGAGGGGACAGTTTAAGGAGAAAAAAAAATCTGACTACAATCTCTATCAAGGAATCCCAGGAATATGCAAGCTTCCTCTCTTAAAATAATGATCTTATTGATTGTTCTATCCGAATTATGTAACTGATGGCAGCAGTGCAAATGTTTCTTGCAAGATCTCAAGTCAAATGAAAATTTACTATAATTACATATATTTGCACTGAAATCCTGATTTAGGCATTGTAAATATAATTATTAAACTGGAGAATGGTTGATCTTAGCTCCATTAAACCAAGGGAAATATACACCAGTAGATTAAAACAAAATCGTGTCTTATTTAATACCAAAACCATATTATATCAAGTCTGGGGATTTATAAGGACATTTTTGGGAATGCTTGCTCCTTGTAACTCAATCAGGAAAGCAGTAGGGAAGATATTTGCAAGTTTAGGGAGGATCAACAGAAATAGAAATTGAGAGCTGGAAGGAGAGAAGGAGAAGGAGTCTTTTTTTGTGTGTGTGCTCTTTATTGAAACAAGACCACTAACAGCTGCCCACAGCTGCATTGCTTCTTCTTGGGTCCTATATTATTAGTTTCCCTGTTTATGTTCTCTGTCCCTCCATTAAATCTATTTGTACAGGGGAGCCAAATGAATTGAATGGTTTTCTTGGTTTGTTTTTTGTTCTGCCTTTAGTTTGTGGCCTGTGCTTTGTGGTTGAAATAACAAGACATTTCTGTAGCAGGGTCAGTTGGTTGGCTGGTTGCACGCATGGGATATGTGCTTCCCTCATCTCTCTGTCCAATGGGATGTGCTCACCCAATCTCCCAGAGCAGAGACATTGAACAATTTTGTTGTTTATATGATGTATTTATTTTTACTTGTGTTTCATGTCATTTTTTTAAAAAAATAAATAAATTGTAAGTTGGTATAATGCCTATCAACTGTCTCTCCTTTTTTAAAAAAATAAACTTCAAATGTTATGAAGAATTTGGTCATTTTGGTCTGGAATTAGTTTGAATTTTCCCTCCTGATGGTTTCTTTCACCGAAAGGAAAAATAGTCTGACATCATGAATTTGCATGTTTTACAAACAACTTCTTGCAATGGTTTCAGTGATATTCAGGCACAATTAACTAGCTAATTAACTAATTAATTAGCTTAACTAAAGCTAATTAAAGCCTCAATTTCTAGACAGAATGCAACATTTAAGACACAAATGTGTATTACAATCAGACCTTATAACCAACCAACCTACACTATTCAGAGACTGAAGTTCCATCACTCTTTTTATATATGAATTTCCATCAATTATAAAGATTTGGTTCAGAGCCTAATTTGAGTTGCACTGATTGGAAATGGACCAAACTGACTAAACCAGATCTGAAGTGGAATTTGGAAACCCAAAGCTTCTACAACTCATGGACTATCATGTGTCATCTGTAAGTAGTTACATTGATATTTATATGAAGTAAAGTCTTAGTAAAGGATTTTAGATGGCTTTATAATGAAAAACTTCTACTAAACTTTTTTTTTTAAATTAATAGAATTTTAATATTTGCAGGCACAACTCTCTCCCTTCTGCGAAGATGAACCAGGCAGGTATACGATGTCTGTGCCCAAAGAGATTCCTCCCCTCCGCCTCTTCTGAGGGATAAGAAAAGATCTCTCCCTTCGATTATTTTGGCAACAAATTCTCAGAAAGCAGTACACGTCATAGAACTTGGGTTTCAGTGTTACAAAAGGGTAGTTGGAAGAGATTTTCTGTTAAGGAATTTTTCCAAATTGATTCTTGAATAGGAAAGAATAAGCTTAAACGACTTCCCTCCGCCTCATATTGTGGTGGTGTGTATCGCTGTCCTGTTATGTGACACATCGGATAAAATGGGACCACAGATTCATCAGTACCCAATCCAGAACACTGCACTGAGCTAAATATCTGGTCATCCAATACCTATTTCACTTCGGTTCAATTCGTAATCAGCAACAACATCAGAAGCTGACATTTCATGCCCCATATTCTGCCTGCTCTGCTGAAATCCTGTTGCTGGGTTGGCAGTGGAGGACTTCAACCTACCCAGATGTATGGAATCTGGGACAACCCATATTCATGGCAACCATGGATTTGACCCAAGTCATTGGAAGCCCAAAACATACATGGCTTGCATTCTAGTTTTTATCCTGGGGCGGTTGTGATGTAATCTGGTAGTAGAGGATATAGCATTATCAGATAATTCTCTGATTGTTTTTGCCCACACCCAAACAGGGAAGTAGATTCTATTAGATCAATCTGTCCCAGGAGACTATTGGATCCTATTGGCTTCCAGAAAGAGCTTGAAGTTTTCCCCCCTGAGTATCTGGGTAGGTCATTTAAAGCCTTGGTCACTGCCTGGAATGAGCATGTGATGAGGTCCCCTTGCACCAGATTGCTTCTATGCAGTCTCATGGTACGTTGATCCTGAGGTGTGCTTGGTACTCTGAGAAAGAAGTTGAAATGCCGCAGTGACTCCTGGAACATGTTCATAGTCATACTCAACTTTCTATTTTTGGAGAAGACTTGTTTTATTGGATTTTTCAAGGTTGCCTAATTTAGATTTAGATTAGATGAATTCCATTATACAAGGGGAAAGACCTTGTTCTATTAAAAGCAGATACCACACACTATAATGGTTATTGTTTATTAGAAAAAGAAAATGAAGAGGACTGTACCACATATGTGCTACAAGTGTGTAAAGCCCTCTTGCTCATTTCACACTTGGGAATAATCTTGCCATCAATCAGTCAGTAGGATCCATGACACCACCACATTCCTTGCTATGGTACAGTTTCCTTCGCTACCCAAGAGGAGGAAAAAAGTAACACCTAGCATTTCAGATGAGGGAAGAAGAGGTTGGCTTTCTTGATTTTTGAAGCAGGAGAGGACAGAACATCCCAGTAAATATCTACAAGTGTGCCTGGATAGGATTGAGTAGCTTAAGAGACCAGTAGAATCTAGTTAGAGAGCCCATTTGGATCTCTTGTGTCAAAGAGGTAGAATTCAAACTGGCCCTTCCTCTCTCCGAGAGCCAGGCTGTCGACGTACTCGTCCTTTCTTGCTTTCTGAAGGATGCTGCTGCTGCTGCCATCTTGAGGTCCAGACTTTTTGTCTCAGTCTTTTCCTTTGTTGCAGAGCGTTGCAGAATTCAACTAAATTAGTACCAGGTGGCCAGGAGTAGCCTTTGTAAGGAAGCTGAGGGCCTGACACCGGAGTGACGCTGTGGTGGTTCCCTTTGGTTTCTGCATTCTTGCTAAGCCTAGAGGTTACAGCCTCCATGGCCTGTTGCCCTATGATGCGTAGCTTATAGTAGGTAAGGGTTTGAGAAAAAGAGCTGTCCATTCCTTGGCACTGATAGAGTCCAGCATCCTGTTGGGTCAGCTGATTAATCAACAGCCCTTGCTCTAAGATTGAAAAGCGACCTGTGCTCCCAACCTGCAAGGAAACCAGACAATATTCAATCTGCTTGCCAGCTACAGCCACAGAGAAAGACAGAAGAACCTGCTATTGAGGGGTTTCTGCTTGCATCTAAAGCATCCATCCAGCTTAGCTTCCTTTTGCAGCACATCAAGGCAACTGTGGGTCCCTTTTGCATCCCAGGCTCCAAAGAGACCACCCAACTTCTCCATTAATTTTGCTTTTCCCCAGTACCTCCTCCAGAGCTATTGTGTTGCTGCGCTGTACTAGCCAACGAATCTTGGTTTGGGGAGAAAGTGGATGGCACTCCAGGAATGTTGAGTTGTTTTGTACACCAAATATCACCTTTTCTTCTGCCACGGGGGTGCCTGCAGGGAAACAGCAGGAACAAAAATATTCAACTAGAAGTTTTTAATAAGCAAACAAGTATTTTAACTCACCCAGGACACAACATTTGCTTCGCATTTGCCTCTGTTGGTAGAGTTATCTTGCCATCCCCATAGAGAGCACACCCCTCCCAATTGCATTTGAAATTGTACTGAGCAGGTGATTGGACTAGAAGACCTCCGAGGTCCCTTCCAGCCCTAAGATTCTATGATATTCATGGATTCCTTAAAAAAATGCATGATTTTCCCCCCCTGAATTCTGAAATTCTTTTCTGAAGGATTTCATTTGTTTTCATATTTTGTAACAATAAATGTTTTCCAGAACATATTCCATGTAAAATATTCACAATTTGCTTATCCCTGGGTGGCACAATTTATATGGTATTTTTTGTTGAGCTTATCTGCAATTATATGCAGATACTTTAAAAAGTATGCATGTACCTCCTTGCAGATAAGCTTTTCAGCAGACAAGTCAAACCCATTTTGGGGTGGTAAAATTCTTGGCTTAACTGTGAGCATATATAGTATTTCTATAGCTTTACTATATTTATAAACTGTATTATCTACTAAGTCTATTCTGAATTTAATACATAAAGTACAGTATGTCTGTTTTACAAAAACAACGTAAGGAAAGTAAGAGTGGCAAGTTTATAACAAGTGCTTCGTTGAGTCTTTTTGAACTATGTTTTTTTAACCAGTCAGATGCTCTGCTTTGCATATAACACTAACCCAAAATGTGTTAGTTTACGCATTTCACTGTACTTTTAAAGAATAAATTGTTTGGTTTAACATGATGGGTGTCAGCATTTAAAGCCTTCCAGGTAATATTTAACATTGAGCTTGAATTAATAAATCCTTAAAGAGCAAATTTCTAAACCAAATGCATTTTCCCAATGACTGGACAGACAAGGGCAGATTTTTAGACGTTTTTGCAAGGCAAAGGGTAAAGATGATGGCGGGGACTGTACAATTAAACCTTCCCTTTTCGTGTGTGCACCATCTTGATTTTTGTGAACCTGTCCTGGCAGGTGCCCCTGTCCTTATGATACACCTTGCATCCTACTGACCAAATCAGCATCCTAGGATTCAGCCCTTCATCAGATAAAGTCTGGAGTGTTACAGTATATAGATGGTACTAGGCTCAATATTTGTAAAGAGATTGAGGAGGCAACTCCACTAGAGTGAGAAAGGTATTCAAAGCTGTTGTTACCCATTACATTATTTTCTCAACTCTGCAGACTGAACTGTAATAAGCATTACATGTGTTTTCTTGCTAATGGATTGGTGGACCCATCCCTCCACTGATGTGCAACAGAAACTTACTGGCACGAAATAATTGCAGGTGATATAAAAGGAATATCGGAGGGAATGAGGTTGTGGTTGCTCTCTGCTCCTTTCAAAAGCAGCTGCAGTCATGCAAATAAGCTTCCACATTCACTCAAACTTTCCTCCATTCCCTCAGAACTGCACTCAAAGGCATTCAAGCTGGTGTTCCAGCTGCTGGCTAATTGAGCCACATCCTGGTGTTTTCAAAGATGGGCTTGACAACCAGAGGCAGCCTCACCAGGCCCAGCCTTTGAAGCTTATAAAAACAAATACTAAGAAAGAGTGGGAAGAGGAGCTGTAGCAGGAATCTGCTTCCAAATTTTATCCAGTGCTCTTTGTACATTCTGATTGTGACTTCCTGCTGCTTCCAAGGAGGGCTCCTCAACTCACCTTTTGCAACATCCAGGCACTGATTGATTGGATTGGTCTTCAGCACATTCGGACACTGCGCTCGCCTGCAAAAGAGACAGTTAATGCATGCGCTTAGCCAGTATGCTGAGGTGCCTTTTCAAGGGGGACCGGTGAATTAACAGGCAGTGTGGCCTGTACTATGTGTCAACATAAGGAAATGGCATTGGCTGCTTGACGTCCCCAGTACTTCTTTACCCAACAAGTTGGTCTTCTATTGCTTTGCTCCATTTTGCACCAGATGGTGCATCTCCCCACTTCTGTCAGCAAGATGGAACAAGAAACATTCCTCTCTGACCAATGGGTTGTGAAGCCTGATGATGATTACTACGGAAGACAAATGCCAGTCACACCTTTAGAGAAGAAAAAG